TTTTTTTTTTTTGATATACACCCTAATAAGCAGGCATTTCGGTTGATTCGAACACCTAACTAGACTAGTCTAGAAAACTGTTTTTTTTTCTGTTATCTTAAGAAAAACGAAACTGGGAAAAGAGCGTTTTCTACGAAAATATATGCAAAAAAAAAGTGAAAAATTCTTCATTTAATTTACTCATATTTCTTTTGCTGAACTTTTAAAAAAATAAACACTTTCTTAGCGGTAATGTCGCTTGTCTAAGTTCACTACATCTGATAGTTTTAGTGAATCCTTAGCAAATCTGAACAAAAAAAATTGCTTATATCACCGGCATACTTGAAAATATTAATAAAAATTTATCATCAATCAGCATTTACTGTTCTAAGCCGCTGTTAATTATCTATTTAGAGCAACTAAATATAGGTTGGCTATCTTCAGTTGTTTCTTTTCTTACACTTATACATTTAGTTGTGATAAACTGCAGTAGTATAGAGCTGCAGTGCAAAAAAGTTTGGAAAAAATGTACTAAAATAATGCTTCAAATAACATTTAATTATTAGATTCTTTTTTGCTTCAAAAAGCTTAAGAAAAAAAAAGTGACAATATTATGCGGAAGAAAAGTTGTACAGAATTAAGTTCATAATAGTTGTTGACTAAATTCGTGTACCACTGTTCTTTGGAACTGTTGTCGAATGGTTGGAAAGAATAGTGGCCATCCAATATCGGTAAAACAACGACAGACATCCAATATCGGTGAAACAACAACAGAATCATTTGGCAGAAACCGCAGCAGCAGCAGCAGCAGCTAAGAAACGCCAAGCACAACGTGTAACCATTTGAAAAAATATTTTTTATCGAAGTAAAAAATAAAAAATAAAAAATAAAAAAAGAAAAAAGAGAAAAAATTTAGGTCCTTATTTTGAAAGCAAAATAAGAAAGAAAAAAAAATTGAAGGTTTTATATTTTTGTTTAGTCTTTTTTTCTTTTCTGTTCAATATTAATGTTTCCGTCGTTATATAAATCGGTTTTTTCCTTCTTCTTCATTTTACTTCAAAAATATTGCAAAAATGAATTTTTTTTAAAATATTTTTTTTTCTTTAGTTCTGACAAATGAACATCACTTAAAAAATTTTGTCGTATAATTAATTTTAACTTTGAACCTTTTGTCAATCTTTCAACAGTTCGTTCAACTGAAAAAACCTGTAGTGTTCAGAGATTAAAGTGAAAAATACCACAGCTCAGTCAACTTTACCAAATTTTTTATTTCAGCAAAAAAAAAAATGCAAGTTTTTTGGGAAATTTTTTGCAAATTTTTTTGATAATAAATAATCTTCTATTTTCTTCTACCTCACTGTGTATTACTGTATTTTACAAAATACTATTTACTGCTCATAGATTCTATCAACGCTGACCGCTTAACACTGTTTGTATTCTCTTCTTCCCTTCTCCAAATAAGCCCATGGATACAGGTAAACAATTTTTCACACTAATAATTGAATAAGTTTCGTTAACAACTATTTACTCATTACTTAGTTTACGTTTTATTTGTCACGTAAAATAAAAAAGGAAGAAAGGTAAAAATTACGAAAAATTTGCAAAATTATAACGTGAAGAACTTCAGCAATAACTAAACATTCATTTGGTGGTAATAAAAAAAAAGTGAAGACGAAAGCTGTCGCAAGCGGAAATCAACTTTTTATAAAAAGTGAATAAAAAAGTTGTTGAAGCGTAAAGCTTTAAGTTTCCTTTTTTTAATCATTTTTAAATCTATGCTGAAAAAAAAAAGAAAAGCTTTGCTTGCTGCCTTTTTTTCCGCCTATGCATCTATTTTTCAGGAAGAAAAGGAAAAGTAAATTTGGCGACAGCATTTTTAGGCGATTTTTTTGGTGAATAAATAGCAACACTACTAAGCATAAACAAGCCTTGTTCGCTCTAGAAGTGAAAAAAAATGTATAAAAATTTTTCTTTTTTTTTTTCAAACTTTATTTTATCCTCTTTTCCAGTTCGTCTGTTTCCTTTCTTTTTGCTGTCACCATTGACAAAAAAGAAGCTGATGAAAATGTATAAGTTGGTTGCTTATTTTTGATCAAAACGGTAACAACAGCAGCGATAAATTAGAGAAATCAAAAAGTAAGCAAGAAAAAAAACCCCAGACGACACAAAGATATTTTTCTGAATAAAAAAGTGGTTATCGTTTTCTTTTTTTCTTCAATTGTTACTAGCAACGTTTCACATAACAATTTCAAATGACATCTGAAAAGATGGAACAAAAATATGATCGGTAGCAAAGAAAGAAAAAAGCTATCTTTTGTTCAAGAAACGAAACAAAATACTTTTTCAACGTTTTCCCTGTTTTCCCTGTTTGAGTGTCGTTATAATTCTTTTTATTTTATCGCAGTAATAATTTTAATTTCTCGATTCTGATTTTGGCTGCCACTGCTACATCTATTTTTTATTTTACAAAAAAAAATATAGTCTGTCCAAGCAGAGTAGAAACATCCATATCTTTCAACACTGTATCATTCAGCCAACAAAACTGAGCTGTTGATATCAGCAACAATATGTTGTTTGCAGCAGTTATAAATTCTGTAAGATTCAATCACATATTTGCTGTAAATCTATGCCTAAAAAACTATATGAATGCGTAATGGTGTTCACCCCAAAGACAACGGAAAATGCTTTTCAATTTTTCCAATAAAATTGTTTCTTTTTTTTTCTTCTTTTTTAATTTTCTTAGAAACTTATTAATTAGCTTATTAAAATAGATTACTTTTGTAACACGTTGAGCACATGCAGTTTCACGTTGAAATTGATTGAACCTTATGTCTGTCTGTAAATATACCTTGTTCTTCTTTATTAACACTACTAAAGCTGAAGTTAGCGAATACAGCGAAAAAAAAAAACAGCGACAAAATTCTTTTGAAATAAACTTGAAAGTGAATAGAAAAAAAATACAGCTAATTGCAGTGTTGCAACACAGTTTTGTTGACCACAATACATATTGTAAACTTCCGTCTACTTTTCCCAGGGCATAAAAAAATAAAAAATGATTTTTACTTTAAATTTTGATACAGGTCTTGATACTTTTGATTAATTTCACCAACAGTTACCAGCAATTATATTTTATCAGTAAACATTACAAAAGTGTAGGCCAGAACGAATTTATTCGATGAACTAGAGACGTGGTTAGAAGGTCTATTAACATTTGAGCAGTAATGGTAAACATAGATTGTTCACTGCAGTACAATTAAAAGTCGTATTATTCTCAGTATAGTTCAAAATTTTTTTTCTTCCTTTCTTAAACGTTACACTTTTTTGTCGTTGTTCTCCTTTTTGTTGTTATTGCTGCTGTTCAAGCCTTCGTATACTGGCAATTTTCCGATGTTAAGCAGCTCAAGCAGTTATTGTTGGTTATTTGCCGCCGTTAAGGGATCTGTTGGTGGTTGCTCCTCAGCAGCAGTGTACATCGCATATTTACCGATGTGCCGTTGTTGACGTTGATTCTCATGGATGTTGCCAAGGATATAAGAAGAAGCTGATGATGTTGTTTTGCTGTTGTTATTGTTGTTGCTGTCGTTGCCACTCCTTACAACTGTATCAGTTCATCTATACATTTAGCGGGGAAAACCAAAAAAAGAACACGGGTAACTAAGCCTGCATATGTGGAAAAATTCGGCTGCATGTAAATTATTCATAATTTACCTTCATCTAGACAAGTGTAACGAAGAAAAAACTCATTGTTTTCGCTGAAGAAATATTTTTATTTCAATATATTTAAATTTAACAAATTTCACCGGTTTTTCATAAAACAATGCAAGAGAAAAAGGTATAGGATAAGAAGGGAAGAAAAAAAAGAACAAAAGAAAACAACAACCAGACTAAAGAAAAACACCTGATGAAACCGGTAAAATAAATCAATCTTTTTTATCATATTTATAAACTACATATTATTTTATTCATCCGCAACCCATTTACTCTAACAAACTTATAGACAGTCATAGTGAAATTTGAATATGCATACAAATATCAGATGTAAAAGAACGTTTATGTTCAGTTTTTTACTTGGATTTTTAATTTGTCTTTTCTTTTTTCAGTGATGGTAGTAGCGTGGTTTTCCTTCTCCCAGGCACCTCTTTCTTAAGTCCAAAATTTACTTTCTCTCTTTAAATCCCAAATTTCTCATAAATTTTTTGCTTTATTGGAAAACGCATTAGACGACTGGTTGCAGATGTGATGTGCATTCGTCAGATTTGAATAATTCACATTAAATATCAAGCAAAATTGAAATCAATAACTGATATTAGAACTCGTAGATCTGCTTCTTATGCAAATTACCCGTTTATTGTTATGTCCTTTGTATTTTTTGGTAATGTTTGCTTGTCTTGTTTTGTTTTGTTTCATTTTTCATTAAAAACAATGCAGATCTGACCCGCAATAAAAAAAATAAAATGAAATAAAAATCAAAAAAAAGAGCACAAAAATCGTTTACAATCTTCTAAATTATTATGCTACCAAACAATAGCTGTGTTCTTTTTCAGGGTACCAACGAGAGGTTCCTCTTTTCAGCTAAAAGTTCCTTTAATTTTTGCACAACTGTTAACGACTTTTCGCTGAAACACTGTGTAGTTGGCGTTTGTTCACTGGCAGTCATATTTGATGCTTTATCTTTATTCCAATGCTGGTAAAGAATACCTAAAAATCAGTGAGTAGTCAAGCCTCAGGACTAATGGCAAATTCGGTGAAGCATGTGAAATCGAATCATTTTCTTTTTTAGACCAAGAAAAAGGAAGAAAGAGCATTCATTAGCATACCTAAATTGCTTAAATGTATTTGCTGTTGCGGTTGCAACTTTACCGCCTTCAACAGATGCTGTTGAGCTTTTAAAAAAAATCCCAGTTTTCCGTAACAGGTCCCAATTTGAGAATGAACTGGAGCACTATGCGGTAATACGGCTAATACATTGTCGGCCAAATCAATTACCTTATTGCAGTCGCCCAGTTCATCCAACAATATCAATAAATTTATCCAAGCATGTTTGTGTTTTTGGTTTAATCTGTAAAACTATCTGCTCAAACGCAAAAAATGTTTAATAATACAGCTACTCACTAATAAACAGTATAGGATTTCAGACAATAAATTTACAGAAAAAAATCTAGATAATTTGGAACTGCCACACATACATACCGTGTAACATTTTTCCAAGCGCTCAGAGCTTCAAGTTTTCGACCTTGTTGCAAATATAGATTCCCAACATTGTACAGACAGTCTGCATAGTATGGCCGTATTTTTAGCGCTTTTGCAAAACTACTTTCGGCTTTCTGAAACATTCTTATTCATGGATTTCATAATCATGCAAAAAATAAATTGCACACTTCAATAAACAATCAATACTGCTCTTTTTTTCGGTCGATAATAATAAAAATAATACCGTGAATTGTTTCTGTCCCATATATGCGATTCCCAAATTCATCCAAGCTGTTGAGAATTTTGGTTCTAACTTTAAACATTTCTTTAGCAGACCTTCAGCTGTCTTAAACTTTCGTTCTTGTAAATTTACATTAGCCAAATTGTTAAGCGCAAACGAATAATTCGGTTCTAACCTTAAAAAAAATTAGCAAATTGATCATAGTTTAGGTCTAAAAATAAAAGATATTTGTGTTTAAATTTTACAACATTTATACGGTAATGAAAATATAAAAATTCAAAAAAGCTAACTTTACTGCATTTTGATAATTGATTTTAGCTGCATCCCAGTCTCGAGAATTAGCAAACAATTTGCCAAGGTTATAGTAAATTTTTGCATTATTCGGGCATACCTCAAGTCCACTGCTATACAACGTAAATTCGGTACGCCATTCCGAAGATCTCTAAATCAGTTGCAAAAATTGTTGTTCATTTGAAGCAGTTTTTTCAGCATAAACCTGTAGGCCAATCTTTACTATCAAAATAGCAGCTGTTATTCCTGTGATGAAATTTGCTACTGAGCTGGCATTTCAAAACGAATTTCTTCAGATTTTTCAGTTCATTGAAGGGTTTATCATTTCTTCACTCTTAATCAAAACTGTGGTTACAAAACAGAAATGTGATCTGTTCAATATAATCATTTCGCAGCTTTTAGTTCCTTATTTCAAAAGAAAAAAAGTGAGTTGAATAGGGGTATTCTTATCTTTAAAAACGTTCTTTTCTTTATACAAAAAATAGTTTAACAAAAAGATGTCAAACATTTATGCTTTAACGATTAGATAATTATGTCACACAGTAAAAGGTAAGAATGTTTGTTTTATCAGCTGGTAGATCATTTAAAGTTTTCTTCTTAACGCATCTGTAGTGGATGGAAGGGCTAACCCTGTAGTACAAGATTTTGCAAGTTTGCTTCACCAGAATCAATTTTGGACTACAATATATGAACTCTGAGCTTCTTGAGTCAAAATTTTTGACAGCTTTTTGAAATTCATTCAAAAAACTGGTTGGTTTCTTGCAAAAACGCAATTTAATAGTCATTTTCTGCTAAATATTGTGATTAGTATTAAGAAAAATGCTGCGGATAAGCTGTTTTTCTTTTCTAAACGGACTGAAGCTTGACTATAGATTGTTAGCTGCAAATTTTTCCTAGTATTGCAAAATCTGAATTCCTCAATTCCAACTTTATTTTATCAAACTTAATTTTATCTTTACAGCTGATCAACGGAAGAATTAGAAAAAATTGACAATTTTAAGAAGAAATATAGTTGTATAAGTTTTCAGGTTTTCAAAACCCTCTTGTTTAATTGGGAAAAAATTTACAATCTTATCACCGCGGCAGTATTAGCCGATTATTGGAAGTCCTTATTAAAGAAAAGAACCTGAAGAAAAACTTCAAAATAAATAAAGTTTTATATAGGTTTTTAAACAGCAGAATTGTTTAAAATTTTGTTTCGGCTTCTTAAAGAACTTTTATATTCAGAAACACCTAAAAACTATAATTTTTTTTGTGATTAAATTTTTTTATCTTATTCGTTCACTTCAAAAGATCTTGGAACGGTGTAAGTGCTTGTTTTAAGCGAGAAAAGCAATTCCATTGAACAGTGCAGAAAAAAGTATCAATTGGAGTACTTACTTTCATGCATTTTACAACTGCAAGTGCCAGTACAACCATAGCTAGAAGGTGCATTAGGTCTTCATATTTTTTGTTCTTCAAAAGTCGATGGTACAGTAGAGATGAAAATAGGCAAAAACCAAGAGATGGAAGGTATAAAACACGTTCTGCGACTACAAACCCAACAGTGAGCAGTATACTACTGGCAGGGAGAAAAGATACTGCTGTTATTGAGATGGCAAAGAGTTCTAATCTGAAAGAAACATTTTGGAGGTTCTACAAACATAAAGTGAAGTTATGAAACAAATAATTAAGGTAAGGTCAAATAAATCTGTTATAAGTGATTTATGAAAAGTTTTTTATTTAGATAAGAGTAGGCATACCTGAATTTTAAATTTTTTACTGCCCAAACTAACAGTGTGCACAAAGTAATAGTGCAAGCAACTGTTATATAAAGTCTAAAATCTGATAAGCTTTCAATAAGTGAAATACAGCCCATCGAGTAATCAAAACAAAGATTCCCCGGATAAAAAAGTAAGAATAAGTGATAAAGTAACAAGTAAGTGCGATTTATGACCTGCAAATGTGAACATTTACAAAAACAAAAACATTATTTGTGATCCTAAAAACATTATTTTAATAACTCTTTATTTATCTTTTCAGAAAAACTTATTTAACTAAGCTTAGTATTAAAACTTTTCACTCATAAACAGTTTATTTAGCACTGGGTGACAGTGAACAGTAAAAACCAACTCTGATAGATGGTATAGGATGAAACGCTGTTGGATTATCGAGGTTTGAGAATGATGGTGCATGAAAGCCATTGATAAACAAACGAACAGTTATTAAACAAATCACAGAGAGTGTTAAAAGGCTCAGACGAAAACCACATCTATTCCAAAAAAGTTTCTAAACAGCAGTTCATTACCAATGAGAACAATGCAGC